GCAGTTATTAAGAGGATTGATATAAATAATAATTTAATTAAAAAGATATACTTCTTAATGATTTATATTAAATTTTCATAACTAACTAATAATATAAAAGAAATCAAATATTTGACATTTGAATTAGATATTAAAATAAGGTAAAATTTAACTTATTATATGTTAAAAAATAGAAATAAATAAAATCTGCCTTAAATTTACTTGCTGTTTATAATGAAAAAATTAGTTAATAATTTACTAATAATAAAGATCATAAAATTATTAATATATATAATTCAATTTTAAAATTAATATTTATAAAAAATTTATATATTTTAATAATTTTTTATTTTTTTTTTAATAGGATATAATTAGAACTTTAAATAGGTTAGGTCAATCAAATTATCTTAATTAAGAGGATCAGATCAGATTAAACAAAAATCTGATCTGCTTAAATTTTTATTTGATCTGACCTAAAAAATTTTTTTTTCTAAATATAATAATTAATTTATTCAAAAATATTTGATTCAATATAAAAATGATAATAAATTTTCATAATATATGATAACAAATGTAATTTATCAAAAATTAGAGAATTATTTACTAATTTTAGCATGATTCATTACAAATTTCTTCATTATTAAATCTAAAAGTAAACTATTTTGCATTCAAGATAAAAATAAAATTAACAAAATAAAAGACTTAATATTAATGTTAAATGAATATCTCTTAACATTTACTTTAATTATAGCTTTTATATCAAATAATATTATATGTACAAGAAATTTTTCAGTAATTACAAAATAATAATAATTTTATTTCAACTATTTTATTACAAGTATATAATATTTAAGAAGAGCTAGATAGATATTTTGCAATGTCTATTAGAAAATCAGATTGATCTTTTAATATGATGACAATCATAATAACAAGATTTTCAATTTTAAGTCAAATAATAAGGAATTATTTATGTATTTAAGATATAAGTGTAGCTTTAGAACAGTTTTTTTAGTTATTAGATTAGTTATTTTACTTTTAAAAATAGATTAGAAGTAAAAAAAGCTATGCTAACCTTGTATTTAAAGAATTATTTTCATTAAGATATTTGTAATAAATAATATAATTAATATAAAATAATAATTAGTAAAGAAAGAAAACATATTTTAGACTGGATTGATCAAATATACAAAGATTAGTTTGTAGAACTAGTCCTAAGATTAACTTATAGACTGATCTGATCCTAAAAAAGATAAAAGTCTAGTCTTTTAGATTAAATTGAACTGGACTAGACTAATCTAACCCTAAGTTTAGCAAAATACTAAGTTTAGAATTTTTCATACTGGGTCTATATTCAAGATACTGGTCCAGACTTTTTTATAATTTTGGCAAAAATCATTCTTTAGTTAAAATATAGCTGCCACTAATTATATAATGAAATATTTTATTGTTTTTAATTTGTTTGTAAATAGTAATGCTCTTTATTAATTGTTTTTGTTTATTTATAATTAAAAATTTGTTAAAAGTAAAAAAAATACATATTGTTATTTTTGTTATTTATTAAATAAAAATAAAATGATTAAATTATTAAAATTTCACATTACTAATAATTATAATTAAGTTTAGGCTGATATTTTAATATATGAATTTAATTCAAACTAGATTGGACAGCATTTTAATTCTTGCTTAAAGTTTGAGTTTTTATAAATAAGCTAAATAAATTAAAATTAATAAATATATAAAATTTAATTTTAATAAATAAGTTATAAAATTTAAAAAAATTAAATATCACAAAATTTAATAAATAAAATGCTATAAAATATAAATTTTATAAGTTTAGATACTAAATTATTTTTAAATAAATAGAGATATATACAGATTAATATATTTAAATTAGAGAAATCTAATTATTTATCTATAAAAAGTAACCTTCATCAAAAAATGTCATAAAATTTTATAATTAATTTGTAAAAGCGAAATTAATATTCTAAATTGGCAATTTTAATAGGATTGCTAAGTATAGGATTCAGTCCTAAGTTCCTTAATTTTAAATTTTAAGAAATTCTGGAATTTCAAGAGAGTTTATTATATAATTTCATTTAGTAGTTCATTAAAATATTAAAATAGACTAGTTTTATAATAAATTTGTAAATATAATTCTTTGTAATTTTCTTGAGACTTTTTGGACTGTTTAGGATCACTTAATATCCCTAATTCAAATTAAATAATTTTTTATAAATTAAGAATTTATTTATTGATAGAAATTAGAGAAAATGATTTAATAAAATATAATAATACAGTAAGGCTTTTTAGAATTAGTCATTTACGAATTTTAAAAAATAATTTTTATTAAAATGTATAAATAAATAAGTGATTACGAATTGTAAAAAAAAATTAGCGTATTGTAATTGGTTAAAATAAATTTTTTATAAGTTATCTGAAGTTGGAATTCAAATAACAAAAAGGGTGTCTGAAATTGGAATCCCTATTTTATTATCTGAATTCCAATTTCAATCATGATCTTAGTCAATATTTGTGTAATTCTTTAATTTCAGTTAAATTCTAATTTCAGACACGAGGGCTATTTAAAATTGGGATATCTGAAATTAAACTTCAGATAGAATTTGAGATTCAGATACGATGCTATCTGAAATTAGGATATCTGAAAATGAACTTCAGACAGAATCTGAATTTCAGACATGAGGCCATCTGAAATTAGGATATCTGAAATTGAATTTCAGATAGAAACTGAATTTCATACACGAGGCCGTCTGAAATTAAGATATCTGAAATTGAACTTCAAATAAAATCTGAATTTTATATAAATTATGTATTTATAAATTAAAATTAATGTAATATGAAGTATCTATAATCTACATGTACTGTACATAAGCAATTTATTTTAATTAATAAAATTTTTATGATTTTTAACTGTTCTTTATTTATTTTCTTTACTACTCTATTATAATAAATAAACTTTTCTCTATAATTAAAATTTGAAAATATTTATAAATAAGTAATTTTATTTTAAAATTCGCCTCTCAGCTTCAAAATAGAATAATTATATAGGTAACTCATAAAGACAAGAGTTCCTTTTCTATTTCTTTCTACTGTATTAAAAGAATTAAAAAGAAAAAATGGTGAATGTTTTAACATGTTCTTCTACCCGATGCGGTCAAAAAACCTGCATGAAATAAAACAGAAATAAAATAAAACTAAAAAAAAAATTAAAAAATAAATTAACAAGTTAAAATTAAAAAATATAATAAAAAAAAATAAAATAAAATTGGAAATTTAATGCTACAAAATTTAATAAACAAATGTCGCGAAATTTAAATTATAATTAGGCTAAAATGTAAAATGTAAAATTTTAAAGTTAACTATATTTACGAAATTGCAAAAAAAAAAAAAAAAAAAAAAATTTGGAATATTGTGATTGGTTAAAATAGTTTTTTATAAGCTGTCTGAAGTTGTAATTCAGATAACAAAAAGGGTATCTGAAATTGGAATCTCAATTTCAAACACTCGAATTCCAACTTCAGACGAAATAAATTTCTAATCACAACAGAGAGACCGATACAATAATCGATTATTGATTTTTTTCATCAATTAAATGCGCTACTGCTGAAAGCTCGGAAACAAAGGCAGCAAGAACTTGAGCAAATGCTATACTCGCAGGAGCTCGTAATTTAAAAGTGGCATGTTACATTTAATATAATGCCATCTATTAGTCGCTAAATTATTTTCGATATTTGTGGTTAGTCTTTGCAGATCAATTTTGGCCAGGCTTGTCCTAATTAGTTTTTTTAAAAATACAAGCCGGAAATCCTTACAGCTTAATATATTTTACACTCGTCCGGAGCGTTAGCGAAGGACTATATATGTTTTATGCGCTTTGATGTCCCGATGTCCGCCCGCTCAAATTTTGAGTCGATACATGGATTAGTCCCTTTCGTTACACTTGTGCTCCGGACTTAACAATGGTTTTCGAAACTATACCCTATTTATATTTCGCATAAATAGTTCTTGAAATCCTTCCTTTAATCCCTTCGTGATATTTTCGCTTTCGCCGCTTTAACTTTTAGATTTCGTATTTGTTACTTCGTTGTAATTTCCGATTTTATTATTATTTCATTATTCAATTTTTTTTGTAATTATTCGTAATTGCGCTGTTTAATTAATCGATTGGCATTTACTTAAGTTTAATATATTGCGAAAGTGTAGAGCGCCGATGTTGAGGCAAAACTAATTAATTTGATATTATTAAAAATATTTTGTCATAATTGCTTCATTATTATTCAATTAATACCTTCTGCTTACATTACAAATTGTTTAAACGAAAGAACTGAATACAACTATACCATTTAAAATAAATCATCTGGGATGATTTAAATAAAAGTTCATAATAAATATACTTTACTTAGAAAACAAATTTTGAAAATTTGGTACTTTCCCAGGACTCCCCCACATTTTAAAAGATATAATTGGAAATGTCAAATGAGCCATTATACCTACCATTATTCTTTTAACAAAGACGTTTATAACATTTGTATTTAGATATCTTAATTTAAATTTTTGAATTAAAATATAAATTCTATGTAAATATTTATATGTGCATGTAATTCTTTGTTGATATAATGAAAACAGGACCTTCATTTGAGATTTACTTGCTTGTGTTTTAATGCATAGTAAACGGCAGTTCAGGGCAACAAACCAACTTGTACTACATAAACATAAGAACTTTTGCAAATCATCATTGGGTCCATAATATTTGTGAAACATTTTTTTTTTTTTTTATTTTTTTTTTTAAAAAAAATAAAAAATTTATACAGTTATGTCAATAGTGTTGTTGTATTTTACAATGGTGTAATATTTAAATATAAAAGAAATGTTTATTTTTATGGCCTCCGTATGTTTCAATCGTTACAAATAACTACACAACGTTTTGTATCACGTCTCGTACTTCTTATACAAGTTTGGTTCAAAAAATTTTCTATTCCGCTTCTTTTTTTGAATTACTTAAAATGATTAGTGCAATCTTATTATTTGTTTACTATCTTTTTGTTGTTATTTATCCCATATCCTGTCAAATAATTCAAGGACGCATTGATGCCACAAGTGTAATCAAAGATAACATCATATATGTTCTTGGAGGAGTTAATAATGAAAAGGCTTTACCTGAAATATTGTCCCTCGATCTTACCACATCAATGACAACAGATTCACCACCATGGTCGCATACGTTAAATGCTCCACCTTTGGCATTTGCATCAAGCGGAGTGGTTCTTGGCGGTCTTAATAATAATTTTATACTTGTCATTGGTGGTAATATGACTGATTCGGTTAGTGGTGTTAATATATATGGCGAACAAACTCTATTGGAATATGATATTCATAAAAATGAATGGAAAAGAATAGCAATGGCTGGCGCGCCCCAATTAAATGGGAGAATTCAATTTAGTTTTTTAAGTGATAATGGTGGAAAGGCTTATCTACATGGTGGTTATAATGGCACGTTTCTAGGTGATACATATTTATTTGATACACTTTCGTTCACCTGGAATTTGTTACCGGCACCTCAAATTCCAATATTGGCAGATGACTTTTCTTCCGTATGGTTAAATGATGGACGGTTGATCATCATTGGAGGATATGGACCGCCAGAGAATAATGCTCCCATACATAGACCTATTAGCCAGGTAAACTACAAGAGAGAATTCATATAATAATGAGATTTACTAATTTTTAGAATATATAGATCGAAATATTTAATACGATTGATAATACTTGGAGTAAAAAAATTGTACCACAACCTAAAGAAATGACCGATCACCGTAGATATCATACATCTACACTTCGTAAGTAAATCTTTACTTTTCTTTCACCCTTTGAAAATCTCACTAACTTTCTTACTACCTAGTTCCAAATGGAGATGTTGTAATAGTCGGGGGACTTGATGTAACACCCAACGTTGTAATATTAGAAACAGCAAAAGATCCATTTCGGTGGAGGATTCCAGACATTTCTGGATTAGAAACTCCACTGCTTAATGAACATTGTGCAGAACTTGTCGAACATAGATATATTTTCATCATGTTTGGTATGTCTAGTATATTATGTTACATTATTTTAAAAAATAGTAATACGATCTATCTTTAACTTTTTTCAGGAAGAAAAATGGATTACCAAAATAATGACAAGCTCTACATACTTGATACAGAGAATTATCTATGGATTACAAATTTTACGCCAAACACATTAATCGCATCACCATCATCAGCACCATCATCAACATTGACGCCATCACATTCGACAGTCCTTTCAAGAACAGTAGTATTATCTATAGTCATGCCAATTCTATCTATTATTTTACTGGGTTCATTTGTATTTTTTTATAAAAAGCGTAAAAACCGATCGGGTCATTTTACTACACAATTAGAGAAGGTCTAGTGACGCGTATACAATGGTTAATCCAAACGGAGAAAATCATAAACCTGTAGATCGAATGAGTGATTAATGATTCAAATTTTTGATCGTTAACTTCCTCAAGGTTATGGTTAGGTTCTAAGTTTATAAATTCTACAAGCTTTTTTTTTATTAGAAAGTTCGAATCAACATATACGAATTACACAATGTGATTAAAAAGTGCAACTCATTTTCAACACTTAATTTATTATTAATATCTTTAAAAGTCAGAATGTCTCTCACCCATACTTCTACATCTTACGTAGGGATTTTGCAGATCATTGTTTTATAAAATTCTTTTCAACTAGTTTTTAAGTTTCTCAATCCTCGATTGATATTTGTTGGCCCATTGATTTATATATATCCGAATTACAATTATAAAAAGCCATTTTAACCAATTACGGTTGTGAGGCCATTTTGGCAAAGTCGAAACTTTTCTGCTTCGACGACAGATTTCGACAGTTTCGACGGGTCTCGATTTCGATGCCTGTCGGAACCTCCGGGTTTTTTCCCGACCATTTCGTGAATTTTTTTGATGGGTGTCGTTGCGCCTCGGAAATCCCTTTAATATTCATGTTTTTTGTTCCTGTAAATAATATAAATAACCTAGAATAGTGAATTATTAAACAATATTCAATGCCTAAAGATTCCAGATGCTCCAACATTTAGAAAATAGATCGATATTTACGGTAAGATATATTTCATATTTTCGTGTAAAATTTATCTTGGAAATTTCTTTCGCATTCAAATATTTTTTTATTACATATTAAATATAGAATAAAATATACAAAAACGTCAGTAATTTCAAATCTAAAGTAATTCATCCTTTGAGTAACTTTATCTTAAAAATTATTAATTTAAAGTATTCAATATCTTAGCTTTTTAAATGGGTCGCATTCAACTTATCGACGATCATTTTACCGACATGGTTATTTCACTGACATGTTATTTCACCGACAAATAATAAAAATTTTAAACTTTTATAATTTTATTCAGTAGTTTGGACAAGAAAGATTTATATTTTGTCGGTGAAATAACTTGTCGGTGAAATAATCATGTCGGTATAATGATAGTCGTTATGTCGGTGCTTATAAAATGATTAGAAATTTCTCGGCGTCAATCAAATTTATAAGTTAGCACAAATCAAATTCAATTTTTTTACTCACGTTATTTAACTTTAACAATGGATAGTTCACTAAACTTCCGTTTAAATGCATGTCCAATTTGTCTAATTTGTTTACTATGTGAAAAAACGTATAGTAAAGATTGTTTATGTCCACCTATAGAAGTTTTAAAATACATAAAGTCCTTATAGAAAAAAATATTCATGGCGATTTTTGGCGCTAATACCGAGAAATTTCTATTCTTTTGATTGGCACCGAAATTTCGACAGTGCCGATAAAAAATTTACACGTCCCGAATTATGTAATTGTTATATTCATTAACCTACCGTAATCTTAAAATATTTTTTGAAGCGTAGAAGGTAAAAAAAAAAAAATTTACTTGCAGAATCTTTTTTTTTGTACAAATCATTATTATATTTTTTTGGATATTTATGGCGGAGTAACATTGCGGTTTATATTTTGAATTTTGGGAATGGAATTTCTATTTTCTAAAAAAAGGGAAATGAAATGGTATATTTAGATTATATACTGAAACATAGTCTTTTCATGATGCTCATTGCGTCTATATTTTTTTTCAGATGTCAATTGGTTATATTGCTGAAGCTCGAGTCAAACAAGACTGCAGCACTAATAAAATCTCTATTTGAATGTAATT